ATTAAAAGGATGGAAATGGAGGAAAATGCAAATCCTGGTGTTCATAACTAGATCTGTTTTGAATTAGTCTGGGTGGGGCTTGGTCTGCTTGAATATCCCAAAAATGATGTATTTTGCCCTGTGGTTCTTTTTGGCATTTTATTTTAGGAACCTACCAACAGATTTTCAAGGGACAACAGATCAACGGCAGTTCATGTCTGAGTTCTCAGAAAAGTGCAATTTCCTTGCAATTATGGGGTCGGTACTTTTATTTACTGGCCATTGACCTAGTTCTCTGCTTTCTATAGCAGCCTAATATGCCAAAAATAAGCATGTGCAAACTTATTTGAAAACTTTCCCGTCCACAATCTATGTAGAGCTAGCAACAGTAGAGTAATATATTTCTATTAGTATTAATACCAGTCACAGATAGCATTCTTCAGCCTTTCTAAACCAGCTTCCAACTGGTTTTAAATGTTTGCTTTGACAGGAAAAATGGTTAGGTTTATATTGGTACAAATGGAGTTCTGTTCCATGGTATCTCTGAGAAGAGAAAAGAGCAGGGAAGTTTATGTACCAAAGAGGGAGAGAGAAGGAAACAGTGTTTGAGTCTGAACCACAGACTCGGACTCAAAACCTCAGTAAAGGCATAAAATAAAATTACACATTTTCAGTTCTGATTGTAACCACACGTGAAAGGAAGCCATTTCCTCTATGAATTTTTCAGTTCTCATTTCAGACTGAAAAGGTGAAATGCTATCACAAATGGTGGTGTGTGATCAGTTTCGAATTACGTTGCATGTCTCTTTTTCTATCTTTGCCCCCTGCCTTCACCCTGATGTTTGATTTTTAAAATGCCTCACTCTTTCACAGAACAGGAAGTCTAAAGTGTTCATTAAGCTATCTCAAAGCTAATTTAACCGCAAGTCTATAAGATGTTTAAAGGGGTTAGTACAGTTTTTGAAAATGTTGAACTTTCTACTAAACTGCAAACTAAATGTTTGGAAGTGTCTTCATAGATCTATTGGTTTAATACAAATAAAATCTGATTCACTAGATGGAGAGAGAAGATTCCTGGAGTTAAAAAGAAACAGAAGAAAATGCAATGTTTCAGCCTGAATAAGTTGCCAAGCGTATACTAATAAGCTCATGTAGCAAAGTGCATTATTCAGAAATGTGCAGGGAAGTTGCCCAGTACCTGGCAGGCCACACAGGTAGAGTGTTTTTGGCCTTCTGGGTCACTAATTGTTTAGGTGTGCTCTGGCCGTACTACTGCAGTTTGCAGTTAGAGATGGGCAAGACCATGTTTGCATTTTTTTGAACCTAAAGCTGGTGCTTGCTGTTCAAGTCTCTGTTTTGCTGAGGTTTGTGATACAGTTAGTTAGAAAGAGGTATGTTTCAAACAGCAGACACAAGAGATGTACATTTGAGAAAATGAAGGCGGAAATGTGTGGGAAAACGCAATGGTACACACGAAGAGGCATAAAATATTTGCATATGCACAAAGTATTTATTTTGCTAAAAGAAATGTGCACAGTACTGCTTAAAATATTTGTACAGATGAAGAAACCACCCAAATGCAATGTGGAAAGAGGATAGGATGAGCTTTCAGGTGAAAAAAACAAACAAACAAGGTGAGCTTGACAGAGTATTGTAAACCCATATCTGTTTTTTTTCTTTATTTGTTTGTTAATCTAAACTTCTATTTGTTTTAAAAGATGCAATAAAAGTGTGCCCATCTTTGACCGCAGCTAAACCTGCCCCTCTCCTGTATTGCTCTTAATCACCCTTCTTGATAGCCTACACAGATTTCATGATGAAGAAACCACCCAAATGCAATGTGGAAAGAGGATAGGATGAGCTTTCAGGTGAAAAAAACAAACAAACAAGGTGAGCTTGACAAAGTCACTCACCCCTTATCGTAAACCCAGATCTGTTTTTTTTCTTTATTTGTTTGTCAACCTAAACTTTTAATTGTTTTAAAAAGATGCAATAAAAGTGTGCCCATCTTTGACCCCAACTAAACCTGCCCCTCTCCTGTATTGGTCTTAAGCACCCTTCTTGATAGCCTACACAGATTTCATGGTCTGTTATCCATATAGATATGGGGGCTGTAGCTTTCAGAGGTCCAGGGGTCATGCATTCCCATCCCTGGACTTTAGAAGGCTGCATCTACCCCTGTGATGTCCAGCTCTAAAATTGTTTGCTTACAAAAATGGGGGCTCCAAAAAGCCCCTTGTGCCTTTTAGTGCCAAAAAATGTTCTAAAATTAATTTGGGGGAAGGTGTGGGACCCCCAGAGATTCTGGTGACCCTCAAAATATGAAAGAAATTGTTCCATGTTGCCCCAGAGGGCACAAAGTACTTCCTGGGCATCCTTACAAACACACACACACACACACACACACACACACACACACACACACACACACACACACACACGCACACACACACACACACCAAGTTGAGGATGCTATGGGTCCTAAGGTTGCCCTGGGCACATTTGGATCGCTGGGCATGTATGCAGCTCACAGTCTGCACATTGCCCACCTCAGTCTAGATCAGTCATCAAACAGCCCATGACAGTGGCCTATACATTCCGATAGTTTTTGCCCACTTCCTGCCTATTATAAGCTACTGTATTTTCTCCTCTGTGGTCCAGACCCATGAAATCTTTGTCTAGCATTCAGACCATCTCTAGCAGTTATTATTTCCCTGCATGTTCAGCTGGCAGAATCTGTCTTGTGTCAAGTGTGCATGTAATATGATTTTCTGTTGGAGTTGTTCAAGCTGCAGGTCCCAGGATGGGGTTTTGATGGAAGTTTGACTGGCAGAGCCCTGGAATGCTCCTCTTGAAAGGACAGAGGAGGGAGTTGCTGCAACCAACAGGACCCCATATGGTTATATTTTGTCTCTCCTCAAAGCAAACAGAGCCATAGAAACAAGCCACTCCTCCCCCAACATCTGACTTGCAGCTTGTGGGGGTTGTATTGAGTTATTGCAGACTGTCACATTTATAGGGTGATTTCATCAATTGATTTATCTGATTAATTTAGCATTTTAACACTGTGCAGAGGGTACATGACATAGTGTGGCACTAAATGTTTCCTTCAGTAGTAGATTTATTTGGATTTCTCTTACTGGGGTTTATTTGAAATACTGTATCTAGATCAGTTTTCTGGCCTTGTCAGTACTCCTGGTGCAAAAGCCAACAGTGTGATGTCAAAAAGAAGACAATCAAGCTAAATGCTCCTGGTACTTGGAGGCAAGGAGGCCATGGAAGGGAACGTTTAGCGTCCTTGCTTCCCATCTTGCTGTCTGGATAGAGGGCTACCCGGAGTCCTTGAGATAGAGATGTTCAGTTCTCTTATATAAAGGGAGCAGAGTTTAGTTCTAGAATTGATTTGCAATATAAAAGATCTGGCACAGAGCAACTAAATCTGCCTGGTTACTTACAACAAGACCTGGCACCTCTTTCTGAGGCTGACTTTCCAAATCTCCCAAACCATGGAGAAAAACAACAAGAGAGGGAAGAAGGTATACTACATTGACTATACACAGCAGTGTCTGGGAGACTGCCCCAGCAATAAATACCTTTGGACACTATTTCTACCATATAATGCACAGGCTGGGTTGCTTTCCTATATTGTCTTTGTTGACTGTTGTATGTTGGACTTGTGCCAAGTGCATTGGCTTCTAATTTATTTCCAGATACAATTCAAGGTTCTAGTTCTTGCCATTCATTAAACTGTTTGAGGCTAGAATATTAGAAAGATGCTCTCCTTATTGTGAACATATCACAATTAGAGATGGGGACAAATAAAAAAAATGGTGATTCATTTTGATCCGTTATTCATCATGGTTAATGGATCAACAAATATGAATATACAAATATTATTTGATGAATCAATCTGTCAATTCATCTGCACATTAAATGGCTATAACACTGGCCCCCAACCAACTACAGACACCATATATGCAGGGAAGCTTTCTCAGATGGTTTTCTACAACTCCTGAGTGAACATTGGATCATGGACCTCTGTGTTATATAGTCACAAATAGAACCCCCCAGGAAAGCTCTCCCCGGATACTAGTCACAAATACAACCCCCCAGGAAAGCTCTCCCCGGATACTTAGAGACTCCAGAATCACAATGGAGCTTCCTATGTCTTTTCCCAATACACCTGCCAACTTGGGTGAAGATTGGATATCGGACATCTGAGTCATTCACCCACACATTGGGTCCCCCCAGCAGAGTTTACCACATGGCACAGAAGCCCATTTTGCTTACTAGCCGCCGATCAGCTGATCAGAAGCTGATATGCAGCCACCTCCCCACACAGCCAGCCACCCCAACAGCCTAGTCCCACACCCTCTTCCTTTCCCTACCTTAGGCCCCACCCACCCCCACCAACACCCTCTTACCTTAATACCCGGCTATGGCATTGGGTGGCTGTGTAGGGTGGTGGCTGCCTTTCTGCCACCGATCAGCTGATCAGAGGCTGGTAGGCAGAATTGTAATTTTTTAAAAAAATACGAAGGACAAATAAAAATAGGTAAATATTCATCCCTTCATATTCGTGGGGATCTCTGGAAACCACAAATATGGATAGACGAATATTTAACGAATCGACTATATTTGTCGGACAAAGCGATCTGTTTTTATATTCGTCCCCATCTCTAATCACAATTTAAAACTACATTCAGAGATCCTGGATGGTTCATGAAGTCAGGCTAATAAAATTTCTGGGAAAAGTTGGGTTTTTTAAAAGTCTCTGAAATAAAAATAAAAATAAAATAAAATAAAATGACACTTTCAGCTCAGAGTGTCATATATAGCTGAGCTTCTCCTCTTGCCCTGCAATGTATCCTTTGATTAGTTAATCAATAGAAACACTTAATACTTGGCACAGAATCTGTTCCTCCCCACTTCCTCCGCTCTTCTTCCCTTTCTGCGATTCCTGAGTTAGATACATCTTTCCTTATTGTTTCTTATTAACCTATGGCTTTCTTCTTTTTAAGGGGATTATCTCTGCCATCTTAACCAAATGTACACAAAATGAAGGATTCATTCCCATTAATAAAAATCTCTGGTAAGTGATTTCAAACCCATTGTACCAGTTTGACTGGTATAATTCGCAGAAAAATTTGCACAGAGCTTGTATCACACTGAGAACAAGATGGAAGTTGTTCTGCATCAGAAATGTGGCCTAGTTTATGCCGGTGGGCACTGGTATTCTAGTGCCAATTTAGTGCTGGAATAATTTCCACTGTTGTAAGGTTTTTATTTTCCCTCATGGGATGCAGTTCATATATGTATTTAAGGCACATCACTTGATCTCCCATTATTTGATAATGACTTGGAGTCTGAATATGTGATTTAATGCCATCTCATCACTATGAGATGAAGTGACATAACAAAATTTTGTCAAACAACAAATGATGTGTAAATTTTCGACAAGGGAAGAATTCTGCACTAGCCTGGAAGCTACTATTCTTTGAAGGAGGTTTGGTTCAGAAAAAAGGGTGCATGAGGTTAGGCGCAACCCTTTCCTAACCTGCCACTTTTTCACTACAAAATCCTCTTTTAAAGGGAAAGACAGTTGTCGAGGTTTTGATAACATGCAAACCTGTCATTAGCTACTGATATATTATTCATTCATTACACTGTAGAATGATGATGGGGATACTCAGCTGTGGTATACTGGATGGAGCAATGAACTAGGGACTCAGGAGACTAGGTTCCCTATGAGGAAAGGCTGAAAAACTGGTCATGTTTAGCCTTGAGAAAAGAAGACTGAGGGGAGATATGATAGCAGTTATCAAATACTTTAAAGGCTGTCATACAGAGGAGGGGTAGGATCTCTTCTCGATTATCCAACAGTGCAGGACATGCAACAATGGGCTCAAGTTACAGGAATCCAGGTTTCAGTTGAATATCAGGAAAAACTTATTAACTGTTAGAGCAGTGATTATCCAACAGTGCAGGACATGCAACAATGGGCTCAAGTTACAGGAAGCCAGGTTTCAGTTGAATATCAGGAGAACTTATTAACTGTTAGAGCAGTGTGGCAATTGAATCAATCACCTCAAGAGGTGGTGAGTGCTCCAACACTGGAGGCATTCAAGAGAAATTTAGAGAACCACTTGGCTGATATCCTTAGATTTGCATTCCTTCATTGAGCAGGGGGGTTGGACTTGATGTCCCTATAGGTCTCTTCCAACTTCATTATTCTATGATTCTATGTTTTCATGGCTCTACCATGGAAACTCACTGGATATATGTGCAACTGGTAAAACCACTCACTTACCTTGAAAACCCTATTAGGTTCACTATAAGTTTTGACTTGATGACACTTAACAACAAAGCAAAGCAAAGCAAAGTGTGCTGCTTATATACCGCCCCATAGTGCTTCAAGCACTCTCTGGGTGGTTTACAAGTTAATTATATAGGGTATACATTCCCCCCCCCCCCCCCAACAAGCTGGGTACTCATTTTACCGACCTTGGAAGGATAGAAGGCTGAGTCAACCTTGAGCCAGCTACCTGGGGTTGAACTCCAGCTCATGAGCACAGTTTTTGGCTGCAGTACAGCAGTTTAACAGTTGGTGTACCACGAGGCTTTTCAACAACAACAAAGATGATGATGACGACTCACGTTTCTGCCAACAAATTGAATGTGGTGTAAACAGCTCCCCTCCTCACCAGTTTATCCTCACAGAAACTCAGTGAGATAGGTGAGGGTGAGAGAAATAATTATTGGCCCAAGACCACCAGTCAGTTTCATGGCTCAGTGAGAACTTGCACCTGGATCTCCCAGATATCTGTCCAACACTCTTAACAACTATGCCACCCTGGACTGTTAAAATGAATCCTGCACAGAGAATCATTGGAGATGGTGTCAGGGAGTGGAACTGTGCTCAACATTTCTCTCTGCTGCTCCTCAGGGCAATCGCAGTCTCCATGGGGGTCCCAGAAGTATTCCCTGCTAGGACAAAATGTTGAAAATTGCTGAGCTCAGCAAAATGCATCAGGCATGCATTTTTCCAGAAGGCCAGAGTGAACACCATAATACAATTATGATTCTGTTATGAGCATCTACGCAATAACGTTTATACCTCAGCGAGTTGGGTATCTGGCTGCAGAGCCAGAGGTTGGGAGTCTGGTTGAAAAGATTTGCCATAAGTCAGAATTCTCTTGAAGGCACACAATTATTAAAAGTGTGACAATATTGCCAGTCTCAGATGCCTTGAAGTTCTCTTTTTAATCTAAGCACAAGGGAATGGTACTGAAGATACCGTTTCTCTTTCATGTTCTCCAGAAAGCCTGAGAAAATGCAGTGACTCTTAATGGGGAGTTAACTAGTTTTGAACACCTACAGGGGTTCAAATGAGCCTGCCCATTATCTCCAGTTCTTTTTATGCTGCTTATCAGAGAGGATGAAACACTTGTGTGAAGCACTTGATGGCTTTAAAGGAAAAGTGAAAAATCAATAGCTACTTACTTACAGCCTTTGGAGTATGCAAATGCGCAGCCTAGCTGGCTGGGTCTGAGGAAGGGCATGAAAAAAATCTCATGGAAGGCAACGGGTGTGTGAGCTGAAAGGAACAGTGTGTTGCTTCAAGCAGGCTGACTATGGTGCAGAAGTAAAACAGCTGCAACCATTTACTGTATTTCAATATGCTGGAAATCAGGTAATGAAGCCCCAATAGATGTTCCAATGAAACATGTGCATGGACAAATCTGAACTAGTTAGGTGATCTGCTTGCATTTGGGGGGCAGAAAAAGGAAGATATAATGTGATCATTAAGTTTTTTTTTCTGAAGATAGATTGTAGAAGATGGATGGAGAACAGAGATGGGATAGTCATATTTGTATACAAATGCAAATATCCTGGATCCAGGTGGCTGAGATCCCCAGTTCCACCTCCCCAAACCTCCTCATCCACTTATGGGTCACTGTGCTGCACATACCACTAGTATCCTGCTTTTCACACCAATCTCAGATGAAGCCTGGCTGGTGCTGCCCTGCCTTCCTACTCTTCTGACCACTCAGCAGCTGAGTGGGGAGACCCATCATCCTGCACCCTGGCTGGAGTGGCCAGAAGAGCAGGAAGGCAGGGCAGTGCCAGCCAGGCTTCATCCCAGATTGGCGTGAAGAGCAGGATGCTGGCTGTACAGTGAACCATAAGTGGATGGGTAGGTTTGAGGAGGTGGGACTGGGGATCCAAGTCACCTAGGACCTCGATATTCCATCCCATCTCTAATGGAGAACCATAGCAAAGTTTGGTCCACCAGCCAAGCCCAACTATCCCAAAGTGCCTCCTGCTGAGGCTTCCTGAAAGCTCCTCCCCAATCCCACCTATGTAAGAGAATGGGACAACAGAGGCTGGTGGCTATCATGTCACTATGGCAGTGGATTTACTCCAGGTATTAGCTCAAACTATCCAATGTGCTGATCCTATTTTGAGGATAGAGTTCAGCACCTTGGATAGCTCCTGTAAAACTCAGACTAAAACCCAGTGTGACATTGGAACTAGCAGCCTCCACTGGATAGAGGGGAGCAACTACGCCTTGGCCTTGAGACTAGGTCGTTTCACACCTGCCTTGACTTCCTTGCACTCTGATGGTGAGATTGAAGCAAAGTTGTCCAAGCATTCAGTTGGCACTTTGAGGCGGTAGCTGAGCCCTGAAGAGACCACTGGCTTCTCAAAGCACAGGTTTGCTTCTCCCTTGCTTTCATCACATGGAGAAGGGTGTATCAAGATTTCTTCTAGGAATGTGTATATGAGAATAGGTTTAAAATTTTGAATGGAACATGGAAAGGGATTAGAAATCGGTGAAGATCACAAAGCACTGTTCTAATGTGATCGCATGGGCCTGTCCCTGTTAAATGTCCTGCTAGCCTGTAAGTCCAGACCATTTTCAAAGGCAACTTCAAGTAATTTCTGTAAATCAAATGGGTTCACTAAAACACAGAAGACTGTAGTTAGGCTGTCTCTGTCCAAATAATGTCATAGGCTCAAATTCAATTGCTAGTCCCAGCTGGAGTAGATTTATCAAGTTTGCGTAAATCTCATTGATTCAGTGGGTCTTCTCTAGTTTGGACTAACATTTGGATTTATGCAATAGTTGGTCAACAGCCTAAACTAATAAAAGGTGCTTCATGTTATCAAAGCTCTCTGTTTCTACTGAAAATGCTAGACCCAAGCATATTTCCAAACTATGAAGAGAGCTAAATGGGTGTATGTGTGTATGGCCCACCACCTATGTCACTACCCCACCCACAATCCAGCAAGACCTCTACATGGGTAAAGTGAAGTCTAAAAGAAATCTGTAAACACATTCAGCTCAGCATGTTTATGTACACATTTCTTTTTGGGTGCCATGATTGGAAAACATGATAAAGCAGGGCTGAACTCATGGGAGCTCTATAGGTACACTCAGCTGAATGTTCCTGCAGGCTATACTTCACACCTTGATGCTAATCACACAAAGGTCTATTGGATTTCTTGGCGAGTCACAACTAGAGTATGTCCATTTGAATCAGGAAGCAGACTCACCAAATCCCCATCAATTCCATAGGCCTACAATAATGCAACCGGCTACTCTCAGCAACAGGATTTCAACTAAAGCGTATATTAGCTCCTAAGTGAAATCCTCCTCCTCTCATCAGCATTAACAGCCATGCTATTTTAACCAGCTCCTGTAACAATGGCAAATGCTACCAGCTTCTCCTCCTATTTGCATGGGATGGAAGCCATCTACTTGTGCAGATTTTTGACATAATGGTCTTGACAGGTGCCCTCCTCCTTAAGTGCAAAGGTTATTTCTTTACCTACTACCTAATTTAGTAAAGCCTTCTCCACTGCGTTTGGGAGCTCCCCTGCTTATTCTGTTGAGTGGGCCCTGGACCTATGTCCCAAAGTGATGGCAACTCTGGAAGCAACGCTCCTAAGGAAGATGAAGTCTTGTTTGATTGGCTGCATGGATGTCTTGATTGCCCTTCAGTTGGTTTCTCTTCCGATTCACTGGTTGTCTTCTGTGTTTGCTAGGTCTTTGTCTTTTGTCACTACACTGAGCTGCTTTTCATTTGTCCTGCTGGGAATTATGTTCTATGTTATTGATGTGAAGAACTGGTGGGGAGGCCAGCCTTTCATTTTCCCAGGTAAGCTATTGGAGCCATGGTTTATTATGAGCTAGATAGGACAGTTTTCAACAAAATAACCATCCAGTCACAGCTCGGTATTAACATCTAATCTGTGTCAAGCTGTGTGTGGCTTTGGGATGGGATCAGGCCCATGGCTCTGCTGCATTGGTGGACCTCTACACATTGAAGCTTCTGATGTGCCCAGACGCTGCCTGTGTACTGAGCAAAGGGGCCTCACCATGCAGTAGCTGAGTAGTGTCCCCCTGCTTCCAGGCCACAAACTGACATTGGCTGTGTTCTAAAACATACAGTCTATCCTCTGCAAAAATGGGGTATAAATCCAAGCATACAAAGCTTAAGTGAGTATCCTACTGCTAATGCCATCCAGAGTAGACCCATTGACTCAGTGGGAATTGGTTACTAATCATTCAGCGTGTGATCCAATGGCTCTGTTCTTTAGTTGAGACTAACAATAGGATCCTGTTTTTATACATTTTGGCAATTCCAGTTTTCTTATTTTAATGTAGCTCTGCACAGATGAATACATTTTAATGGTTTACTTATAGATCTGTGTTGTAGGCGGCTTCTACCTCGGTTTGTTTTTAGTGATTCGTTTTTGATGGCATAGGCCCTCAACCCCTTGCCTATGAATTCCAGGATTATCAGTTCAAAACACATGAAAAGGCTGCTCAGTGATTCATTCAAGCACTTATTGACATTATCAAGTGATGCTACTTTGAGAGTGAAGGTACAGTTCCTAGCGGAAGTCAAGGATAAATCACTCTGTATTTTGCTCACTCTTATGAATTCCTCTGGAGCCACCTGTCAATCTCTACTTAATTATGTTTGCTCAGGGATACAGCCTTGTAATTTATGAAGCTGCAGTGCCAAATGGCTTATGCCTATAATAGGTCATAACTCAGGTACCTGACTACCTAGACTTTTGCTCTCATCTGTACTCATAATGCTGCTTAACTATGCATTGCAGATATTATGGCTGACATGGCAATACTATTCAAGTTCTCTTAATCAATTTCTACTCTTGGTAGTAAATATGTTCCAGCTGCCCTGATTGCTGGGAACAGACTTTATTCTCTAATAGCTGTTCTTTGTAGCAGATTGGTCTCCACATTGCCTTTGAGGGTGATGGTTGCAGGTGGCTTTGAAGAATATTGTTAGTGGCTGAGCTACCAGCAATGTTGTTTTTAAAACAAGTTTTAGTCCTCCCATAGATCTATAGAGGGCTGGGTCTTTCCAGATTTTAGTGCATATGTATGAGCACAGACCCTTTCCTGGTTTTATACTTGTCCATCCAGAAGTGACAGGTAGTAAACACTGCTATGAGTTACATCTCTTCTGTTATATATGAATTGTTGGAAGCTTGATGGAGTGGCCAAGTAGCTACAGCAGTTAGCTGAGAAACCCATAGATTTTAAATTCTGTCTTGCTTCTCCTCTTTAACTTTTGTGCTCTTGTCCTGGTTCTGCCGTGATCACCTGTGTCACCTTTTTGCTTTGGCTTTGCCCCGACCCTGCCTAGGGGACCATTAAAAAAACCTGAACATGAATGTTTCTAATTCCTTCTTTTCTGTGAACACTTGGCTTGAAGTTGCTTGGCTGTCACCTTTTTGCTTTGGCTTTGCCCCGACCCTGCCTAGGGGACCATTAAAAAAACCTGAACATGAATGTTTCTAATTCCTTCTTTTCTGTGAACACTTGGCTTGAAGTTGGTGGCTGTTGCTTCCATGTTTCATTGGACATTAGTAGATTCTGCTCACTCTGCAGACTCAGCTCTTTTTTGGGCTGCTCACTTTGTTTTTGATGTGACCTTAGGAGCTTTTGCTTTCAAACAGAGCTTTTGCTTTCAAATGCACAGGGGGCATTTGTCTTGGTGGTGAGTTACTATTTCAATAACGAGTATGTCAGTTGCTTTCCATCAGGTGAAGAATGAAAATGTATGTCGATTAGGGATATAATTTTTTGTTGGTCTCATCCTTGTATGCAAAGACCAGAAACTGCAAAGATGTTCTCCTTGCCTTTTGGATGGGAGAAGTGTTTTTTGGACAACCATCAGCAAGAGATCCAGAATGAAAATGAGATTTATTTATTATTATTTTGCACAATATAAGCAAAGTTGAGCACATAATGCAACAATGCAAGTAATGGAAATTACACAAAACAACGATGGTTGCTTCTTTTCTGCATTGACTTCTAAGGATCAGATGCATAGGGAAGGTTGTCTCTTTTTTCTTTCCTTTCTTAGCAATCAGCCAGTTATTCTGTGTATCTAAGTGCTTTGCTTCTAAAAGAGATAGGACCCTTGTTTTGCACAGAGAACATCTGCACAAATTATAGACAGCCTGACAACAAGGGAAGGTACCTGTCCCGTTGCCTTAACTTTCTGGACTTCAGCATGCTTCAAAAGTTCAGGGCTGATGAGGACATGGCAAAGGGATGTGCCACCAGTGATTTCCATAGCAAAAAGCCCAACACATATTCTTCCTTGTGGCTAGGATGAAGATGACTGATCCCCCAAAAGGAAGTGTATAGGTGGAACAACATTAGCCCTAATGCATACAATATAGTACAGAATATTATGCAAATTACTCCACATAGGTACCTAATGATTTTTTTCTTCTTCTACAAATATACAGGAATGAATTCAATCCTCATCTACACTGCAAGCTCCCTCCTGGGAAGTTATTTCCCTTTCAGTTGGGAAATGAAGTTTCCAACCTCCCACATGGAGCCCCTTTTCCAGGATTTGCTGGCCACTTCACTCTGGGTATTAATTGCCTATTGGCTCTATAAGAAGAAGTTCTTTTTGAAAATATGACTGTATGGGATGCAGGAATGTGATTTTTCCCTCTGCTCTTGTAATATGATTGCAATCGTTGACAAAACTCGAGGCCCACGCTAGACTTTACAACTTATATGGAGCCATTACTGTATTGTATGTCTTCTTTCTCTTCTCTTGTTATGTATAACCCAAACAAGGTGTGATGAAACAGATTCAATGGCATGTGTATCCTTCCTTCACAGGGATATGAAATAGACAAGGAGATGTAAATCACAATGGCATCTCATGGCATTTTGCTTTAGATGGCATGTGACAGAGTAAGACAGAAAATGTATGGATTAGCAGCAGTAGTCTTGTATTTCTTATAAGAAATAGTTTGGTCTCTCCTACCTCAGCACCCATAAGCAAGCTAGGGAATCATGTATGCTATCCAAACAGTTTGACACAAACACACCCTTGAATTGATCCAGAAGTCATTTTGCACAGATGAGATCTTACATTGGAACTAGTGCCAAATATCAGTTGAATAGGAAAAGCTTTGTAAACCTCTGTCATGAATAGAATTATTATGGGCCCAAATCCTGTTGCTTAGCATAGTGTATTAGACCAGGCCTGCTGAATCAGTGGGGATTTGGCAAGTCAACTCCTCCATAGACCCCATTGATTCAAATGGGCCCACCCTAACTACAACTTACTTTAGCATAGCAAGTCACAGAGAGTAGGGCCATTTGAATGACTGGTAGTTATGAAGGAGAAGTTATGACAGAGTCCCATTGATTCAATGTTCTAGTGAAATTTACTGTGCTAAGTAACAGGATTTTGGCCATATTACTGAAACTTGGCTTGTTTTACAAGTTGACACTTTCCTCCTCCTTTAACAAAAATCAATTATGTGGAAAATGTATTCATCCAAGGATACAAAATAAAATAGAGGAGTTAACTTCAAGATTCTTTCTTAACCCTTATGGATTCACTTTAATGGATGGTTACTGTTCTATGTTAACAGCTCTGAAAAATACAGCATGCAAAAGATCAATGCCCTCTACCCAGCCACAAGGACTGGGGATCACTACACACAAAAGACCAGCTAAGGACACCCATCAATCACAGTGACAGATAATCTCTCCTGCTTATCACAACAATACACCCACAATAAGACACACTAATCACCCATCTCCTGAATAGGACAAAAGCCTATCTCACAGCCATAAATACTCCACTCCCAAGTAAACTACACCAGAGCACAGAGTGCTGTCCTCTGAAGATGACGGCCACAGAGACTGGCGAAACATTAGGAAGAACAACCTTCAGAACATGGCCAAAGAGCCCGAAAAACCCACAACAACCAAGTGATGTAAATGTTGAGGATATTATACATCTCATGATACATGTATGTTAATATAGTTTGGAGATGTGGTCTTGCCCTGTTTGTGTTCTGTCATGCTTGAATCAGTAACCCCCAAAAGATCAGGAATCAAGGCACCTAGGACTCCAGGAGACATTCATATTCACTTTGTTACAGTCTTTTACCTGGAAGAATAGAAGCTGAGGCCAGAAACAGATATTACAGATATTACCCTATTAGAAGAGAATATTATTTAACAGGTGAAAGCCTCTGAGTGTACAGAAGGACATTTTCTCATTTCACATAACTTTCAGATTATTTACAATTATTTTGTAGTTTGTCTTTAGGGCATAAACATGGGAATCCTTTGAAGTCTGATTTTCAAAGATGAATGTATATCTAGTTACAGCTCTCCAACACTAGTATGCTTTCAACTCTAATTACTGGCCATCTACAGCATCTATTTTTTTCCTCAATAAATTGTTCTTGCTGTTCCTTGGTTTCTCATATAAACCACTTCCTAAAATTACCTCCAACACTCACTCCTCTCCATTCCCAGCAACAAGTTGAACTGTTCAAGTCCTTTTTGCCACACATCTCTTGCTATACTCTTACCTTGCTTCTGCAGTTAAGCACCGGTAGCATCTCATAATTGCATTCAGTCTCTAAGGACCTCATTGTGATGCAAAGCTGTGATGCTACTGGTGCTTAACAATCCTTCAGACAGTGCAGAAAAATTCACTAGGTATCATAAAGCCAAGGCTATGGCACACTTGCAAAGATCTTGCCTGGGTCAAGGTTATGCCACTCTGTAGGATTAATTTAATTTTTTATATTGCCAACAATCTGTATTTAAAACGAGCTGGGAAAAGTAACAAGGCTTTTTGTTTTAACCTTGTGGGACTCTCAGAATGTCATCACTAAAACTACTGGATCGTGCTTACATGTTAAGCTTCAGACTATGGACTAGCAAATTAATCTTTTTTCTCAGTACGATAAACCTTTCTTATTTTGAAATGTGTTTGATACTATCTTTATCCAAATGTTAACATTGTCACATGGTGGTAGATGTTAATAGTAAATAATGGAAATACAATTCATTGCTTAAGCCAGTGGTTTGAGACTTTCAGAAAATACTTTTCACGTCAGATTGTCAACTCAGGAACCCCTGAGTGTCTACCATGTCCTGCATAGGATTCTGGATCAAGCTGCTGGACGCATACATGGCCATGCCTTTTCAGCCTCTCCTAACATTTGCGCAGGGAATTCCTCCATGTGAAGCAAGGCTGTGCCTTTGGGCAGCAGTTCTTAATCTTTGCCATTCCAGATGTTTGGAGCTTTAATTCTCAGAACCCCCAGCCACCATTGTTCATAACCAGGGACACTGGAAGCCCAGAGCACCAACATTCCTAATTCTTACAGCAGTGAGGTTTCATTGGGTGGGGAGAGGAAGCAAATTGTGTGGAGATAATCCAGTGAGGAAATCATTTGAAAAAGGATAAAAAGTAGGATGGGGACCTTGTGTTCTTATAAAGGAACACACAGTTTCTTTTGAATTGCACCAAGATTCCTCTTGGCCCAAGTCACTTGTTTCCCATAGGAGGCAGTCGGATCCGTCTGAAAATTCAAAGACAGAACAGGAAGGTATATCTGTAAGCAAATATATACCAGTTCTATACAAATGTAAGTACAGTAGTGCCTCGCAAGACAAATGCCTCTCAGGACAGAAAACTCGCAAGACAAATGGTTTTGGCAATGGGGGTTGACGACTCGCAAGACAAATGTTCCTATGGCCGTGCTTCACAAGACGAATGTTTTCTGTTTTTGTTCCTGCCTCATCTTTGCTGATTTTTAAATGTTTTTCTATGATGTTTAAAATGTTAAAGTTTTTTGATTGAATTTTTTGAAATCATCTGCACAATATGTATGGCTTTAAAGAGCACTGAATAAACCCTTTGTAAAACAAATTTGACTTTGTTCTGACTTTTTTTGCCCATAGGAACATAGATTTCAATGCATTCCTATGGGAAAACACATTTCCAAGACAAATTTTTCGCAAGACAACATTAACCGCGGAACGAATTAAATTCATCTTGCGAGGCACCACTGTAGCATGGCTTCCCCTCCAAAATCCTGGTTGTTAATTACAATTATATCCCTCTTTTAACCTATACAACTGCAATTAGTCTTTTTCTCCTTCTCTCACCCTCATTTTTATACTTTAAAAAACCCAGAAATGTCGTCACACCCCTGGGGTGCCTTACCTTGGGCCAATTTATTATCCACTTATGCAAGTCCAACAGATGACTTAAAAATTCTCTTTGACCAGTTAGGTCACATTAGCTGGAGGTGTCTGCATAGCAGAGTGATAAACATTTTAATTTGAATTTCAGTGTTATCTTCCCTCCCAACCAATTGCTGCTGAGAAGAGGAGGGGAGTGGTAGGGGTAGGGTTTTTTTTTTGTCCTCTCTTGTGTCTGGGGAGGGAGGGTACAGAATTGGTAACTTTCAGTCTCCATCTTTGAGCAGGCCGGATAGATGGGACTCGTTCAGCCCTGGAAGGTGGCCCATCTAGGAGAAGGAAAACTATGATTTCGAACCCCCACTGAGGCGCTGCCATCACTGTTCATGCCATGAGGGAACAGGCTGGTTAGGTGGGACTCGTTCAGCCCTGGAAGGCAGCCCATCCAGGAGAAGGAAAACTCTGACTTCAAATCTCCACTGCCTTGTGGCTACATCCACTTATGGAAAAGGCTTCAGGAGCTAACCTCGAGGCAAAATCCGGAGCCTGAGTCCCGGAGGCAGTTTGTATCATTCTGTCAACTCCTGCGACGTTGCTGAAACCAGTTGTATTGGCTCTTGCTTTTCCATTGGACTATTTCAGTGATGTGGAGAGGGGGGATTTGCTGGTTGGGTAACAACCTATCCTCCATACTATTTTACCCAGGCTTCCTGCCCTGGAGAGGACACTCCAGCTTTGCGTACAGCATCAAAATACTAGACGCTGTTCCAAGTCCTCCATACAGAGCATGTTACCATAGTCTCTTGAGACTGAAGGATGCCTATGAGAGCTTCTGAGTTCAAGGAAGAGTCAGTCAAGGGCTGAAAAGGGTTGATAAACCATGAGACAAAACTGACACTTAAAATATTTGTGGAGTGGTTTGCCATTAGCTTGCAGCAGTGGCCTGCTTTTTGCAGCTGTTAGTGTATGAATGGCCCTTAGGTTGTTCCAGTTCCTGCACTTTGCTGGCTGGACAGTCATTAATAAAAAAAGGGTGTTGTGGCTTTGAATTATTGTCTGACTAATCAATCAGGTGACAAAGAATGAAGACTGTTATTAAACTTCAAACCACATTTCAGCTTCCTGTAGAATTATTATTATTACAGTTAATTGTGTGAGCAGAGTAGACACAAACCTGCTGCCAGCTGACATTAAAAATTCTTTTTGCAATTTATGATGTATTTTTCTGTGTAAGTGGCTTCACCTAAAGCCTGGACCAGTTTGTGTGGCTGGATGTTGAAAGGCCCATTATTTCCCTTCATGGTTTGTTGATATTACATTTAAAATAGACTAAATCCATTGATTAGATTTTGCAAAGCATCAGACCAATTCCATTTTTCGGTGACACAGTATTTTTAAACCATACAGTCTATAAGGAAATTAATGTAGGTTGTACATACAATATGTTTGCTTCACTCCAAGGTTATAAGAACACATCTTATAGTTAGCATCATAAATTGGGAAGCTTCTGTGCTGACCTTGGAATGCATCTCCTGGAGTCTGCTTCTTTCTCCATCCACTTCTGAGACCAATGCAGAGCAGAATTTTGCCATCCCCTTGTACTGCAAAGTGGGCAGGTTGTTCATTTTGCAACAAGTTATCAATATAGTTATTTCAACTGATCATAATTTAGGGACGGGAATATTCTGAAGTCTGTTCTATTTTCTTTCCATAGAGTGAGACCAGATAAAAGCAAAAAGCAACATGTACTGCTTATATACTGCCTCATAGTGCTTAAAGCACTTTCTGTGAGGTTTAGAATTTAATTATACAGGTTACACATTTTCCCCCACCCCAAGCAAGCTGGGTACTACTTTTACTGACCTTGGAGCGAGGAAAGGGTGAAGCAGCCTCAAGCTGGTTGCCAGAATCCACTCGGATCGAATGTTGACCATGAACAGATAAGTAGTGGAATAGCAGACATATACATCACAGTGTTAGGAATAAAAT